GAATTTAGAAATCTAATTTCATTCAAATTTGCTTAGACATACAAGACTCGATGGGTTTGCAAAGGCGGACCCGGCAGTTTCCACACTACGTAGTGCTTCCTGATGGCGCTCTAAAGCCTGTCATTGAGCTTTGGGGCAGCGATGGCTGGATGGCTTTCTATATTACGAGGGTGAACGTTGCTACCAAAGACGACTAGGGGCTGTTAGAGCAGTTCAGTGGAGTTCTTGGTGCTGAGCTTGGTTGTTTGCTTGCAGATGTTACCTAGTCGGGTAATGCAACGTAGGTGAACAACCAAGTTCAGAGAGCGCCAAGGACACCACCGTTCAATCCTGAGCTACAGGTATTTTCTTCTATTGGAACAGCAGTTTAAGTTTTTTCCCCACTTGAAGGTATCCATGAGCCTCCAAAGTTGCCTTTCCAGCAAGACTTGTCCTGGGCTAGCAAGATGATGTGGGGCACAAGATCACCCCCAAGCCACATTTTCTGGAGGAATGGGGCCATTCGGACTGTTTTGACAGCATATCTTCTGCCTGTGGTTATTCCAAAGTGCCTTTCTCTGTTATTGAGCCTTTAAGCCAGTGTTTCTTAACCCTGGCACCTTCGAGACGTGTGATCATCAACTCATGCTGGCTAGGGAATTCTGGGAGTTGAAGTCCACACATCTTAAGGTTGCCAAGGTTGAGAAATGCTGCTTTAAGTCTTCCAGACCTTTCTGGGCAGGTTCTCCTCTTCCTGGGTCAGTCCCAAACCTGCAGCCACAACATTCTAAGAGCATTTTATTATTGACTACATGCATGCATTATAAACCCCTATAACAGCGTGTGTTACATATTTATACAAAACAATAAGCCAAAAATGATTGGTTTGGTTGCAGCTTAGCATGCTGTCTGAAACTCAGGTACAAAATTTAAATACATGATGAAATTCACTTAATGATCTTGAGTCACTTGCTTTTTTTTGCACAGCAGAATCTTCAGTTATGATGAAAGCGAAGTTAGTAAAATAATATAAAATAAAATAAAATAGTAAAGGTAAAATCTCCTTCAAGCTGAGCTTAATTCTTGGCGACCTCATGGACCTGTCCATGGAATTGGCAGGATTGTAGAAGTGACAGGCGATCCCCATCTTCTGGGATGTTTTTTGGCCCTCAGCCTGGTCTAAAGCCTGGGAACTTCCTGATAAAGTCTTCTATCCAAGTACTAATGGGGCCCAACCCCATTTACCTTCCTAGAAGAATCTGAGGATCTATGTTTCTGGATTATAATCTTAACAAAGGTTAATTTAACCTAATTTTCCTGATTTCCACGACACACTGAATCATACTATAATCATACAAACTAGGCTTGTATAATTTACTAGACTAAAATGTGGTTGGCTGGTGGTGGTTCAGTGTATCATGCAAGTACAGCTGTGGTATTATGAACCACTGAGGGATCCAAAAAACCAAAAAGGGTTATATTTCTTCAATTGTTCTTAGAAGTGTGATCATCAGGTAAAGGCTTCCTTAACATTAAGCTCAACTCTACCATTGTGACTACATGGATACATGTATGCAATTTTCTTGGCAACAGTATGAATGTGGTTTGTCATTGTCTTATTGTAGGATTTTTTTTTATTTTTTTTTGTGGAGTTTCCAGTCTAATCTTCTGCCCAGGATTTTTTGATGGTCTCCCATCCAAGTACTAACTAGATTTGACCTTCTTTAGTTTTTTGGAGATTAGCCGAGGTGAGTTGAGTAGTGATAAATAATTTCTATTACAAACTCAGACCTAAACTTGGGAAGATAATGAATTTAGAAATCTAATTTCATTCAAATTTGCTTAGACATACAACTATAGGTTGAATCCTACTCCTCTGAATATCTCTCTTCACACGTGTAATAAATAAAACTCAACAAAGACAGGAATCTTGCTCATGTTCCAGTCATACGTCTGTACACACTTCTGAGAAAATGTGGAAACCAGTGTTTGGAGAAAGCCAGACGACACACCATATCTCCATTGCAAGAGAACTACCTTTCATACACCACAATGTTGTTCTATAGGATTTGACAGCAATATGGCTGTTGGTTCCCTTCTGCAGGAAGGGATGGGAGGATTTTTCTTCGGAACAACATGCTAGATTAAAATCTTGTGTATTTTATTAGTTTGTGCCCAATGCCATCTGGTGCTTAGGTGAAAAAATGCAAGGGAAGATAGATCACTATTTACTTGATGCAGCCAGCTCATAATTGTAGACTATAAGGGAAATGTAGAGTGCATTAATTTAATTATCAAAATATATTTTAAATATTGGAAGTTAAATTGTGGATGCTACTATTTACACTTTCTGCAGCAACAAGATGTGTACTAGATGCAATAAAAGGTACGCTTAAACTGTTTACACAGCCAGGTCAGCAAACTGGCGAAACTGGAATACCTGCATTTTATCATGTTAGATTGTTCCATGCATACAATAATTTGGACAGTTTCCATACTTTTAATGATGCTATAGGGCAAATGGCTTTTGGATTAACTTGTGTTTATACCATTCTAAAGAGTGCTAGCATACATATATTGGGGTAGACAATGTTATTCAGAGTGCAGAAAAAAAGTAAGAAATAGGAAAGACTAATTTAAAAAATTGTAAGCCAAATAAATGAAAGGCATGAGATAAGGAAAAAAATAGGAAACATACCTACAATTATTTTACAGCAACACTGTTCACAATACCCTTCTTCTTGCAAACCGCTCCTCCAAGAAAGTAAATGTACACGAATACAAATGTAGGTCTGAATCTTACATTTACAGCTTTGAAGTATATTCATTTGCATTTATTTAAACTAGGCTTTAAATCTATTTTTCTTATTCAAGTCAGTTTGTTTTTCTTTTCTCCCTATAATCCTGCAATTTAAGAAGTTAGCAATACATTTTACCCTAATTATGATGTAATTCTGACATTAGAGAATACACAGCTTTTCTATAAACATCAAGCATATAAAAATCATCAGCGTTTTTCATATTTTTAGGACACTAATAAACACCATAAATCAGTCCCTAATAACACAATTTCAGATATCAGTGAAAGCCATGATTCAGCATATTAATATGTACATTAATAAATACATTATCCTTCGCTAAGCAAAGCAGATGTAATCAGGTAACAACTAAGATGGGGAAAGTGAAGCAGATTTAATTACTGTATTCAACACCAGCAAACTTATTTGCCAACATTTGTTTGGGTGATGTTTTCCCTGGTTTTGATGTGATTTCAAATCAGACTTCCTATCTGCTCTGGCTGCCACTGAGACAGGTTTTATGTATCATCTTAAACTGGGTTCTGAACTGCCCCATGAAGAGACCCAAGACCATGTATTCACTCACTCCTGATCACCTTGGCTCTGTGTTTTCTGTCTTAATATACCTACTCCTGGGCTAGGCAAACGAGTGCAGCTCTTCTAAACTGTAACCGACTGCCCATGGTCCCTTGCCCCTGGCTCTGCTGGCTACAACTTGTAAGAACTGAAGTCCAAAACATCTGAAGAATACCAGGTTGCCTGCTCCTGACCTAATCCATTTTACACATAGACTGAAAGATACCAGGGGAAGCCATTGTGTTTGACTCAGTAATCCAAGAGATCAAATACTAGATGGTGGTCCAGCTTATATTACATACTATTTATATTATATCCACTCAGCACAAATACAGAATGTACTACTTTCTCTGCATTTTATTGGAAAGCAGTAAGTGCTCTTTCACAGGAGACACACAACACTATACATGCATGTATATAAAAATAATTTATATGCGCTTGTGTATACACTGGACAGTCTAAGAATTTAAACTGGATGAACAAATATATACATATTAACAAAAGCAATCAAAGAGGCCACATACAAGGTTCACAGGGTTGAAAGTAAGAAATAAGATACACGGAAAGCCAAAATGGCAACTACCCAATGAGGATTATCACACACTTAGACTTATTTGACACTCTTTCCTGTACTATTGTACAAAGTTGGCCTCAGGAGATGTGTTTCATTTTGTGAAGCAGAAGCTTCTACACAAATGTACTTTAATTCACAAAGTTATGGTACCTTGCATGGAAGTATAACAGTGGGAGCTAGGGATCAGCACAATTTGACAATCTGGAAATGGGAAAATGCTGGAATGTTCCATTCCGCCTTTGTTTGGCATAGTTTAAAAGGGGAACAGAATATTCTGGAGCTCTCTGGAATGTTCTGTTCCTGAATCACAGAATGTCCCTAATGTGTGACTCACATTATAAGAAGCATAGAAAATGTGACTGACACTTAAAAACATTCAAGCCTGTCCCAAGGAGACAATTTAATTTAGGATCATATTCTTGTCAACTGCTTTCTCTTTCAGTTTCTCCATAGCTTCTGTAATCTTTTGTCCATATATATTTTTCTGATTCAGAACATACGAATCCACGATGTCCCTCACATCACTAGATATAAGAATACAGAAAAAGTTCAGAGCAAGAACATATGAACTAGGTTGTTTTTAGATCAGCAAAGGCCTGTTTTAAATAAACAAGGCTAGGCACATGTCTAGATGACTTGGAAAAGAAAGGATTTGCAGTGCAAAGTTCTATATTTGGATCATACCTGGAAGTCTTAAAATATAATCTTACATTACTATCCATATTCTGCTATTGTTTAAAACTATTCTTAGAATTCAAGTACAGGCAGTACAATCAGACTAACAAAACATATTCTATTTTTGCCATAAATTCTGCTTTAACTAGGTTGTCCTAGTTTTGTCCTCAAAGCTGGACATCCTGGCCAAATTATAAAAAAAAAAAAAGGTCCTGGAAAAAATGACTGTACAGACCCTCAAGAGGGGAGGATGGGTTTACCCATTTGTCACAACGTGTTTCCCCTTGGCAGGCAAAGGTGGAGTGAGTTTAAATGGCTAAACACTGTCTCTCCCTTTGTGTGCTGCAGCATGAGTTTAGCATTTGATAAAATTAACTTCCCCCTGCGAGTAAGTTTCAAAAACAATTCAGAACTGCAACACGCTAAAAAACATATCTTTGAAATATATTCCAGTTTTTTTTATTCTATAGCTCCACTAGCATCATTGTTGCTTTTTCATAAAGCCAAATAAAGTGGGAAATCTTCCAATCTCAAAGAAGTTAATTATGGAAGCCCAACCCAGAATAAACCTTAAAAAATGAGGCATCAAGAAATCATTGAGTATTATTAAGCCTTTTTAGAAGCAAGCACCACTGTCCACATCCTGTATGAAAGCGAAAACACTGCTTTGTGAATATTTGCAATTCATTTGCTGAATTTTATTACAATCCAGCCTGTCCTTAGTTTTACTGCTAATTTTCTTGAGGGCAGCCAGCAGTAGGACTTTGCCCCTTTGCTCCTTTGAATCCACTGAATATGGCCATAAGTAACTTTTGCACATCTAACAATACAGTTCATTATGATTTCTATTAGCTGTAATAGTAAAGCAACTCATTGGCCTTTACAATTCAAATAATTCTGTTACCTGGAAACGGGCACAGATCTATGTAGAGATGTAAAAGAACCAATTTTAACTTCTGCATTTCCTTCACTAGAAAGAGAAATAAAAAAGCAATGATAATTGTTAAAAAAAAACCTTCTATCACTGGGTAATACCTTTAATATGAGCAACACAAAGGACTGCACAAACATTTGAGTTTTCCAGAATGTCTTATCAGGCATGATGTTCAGAAAGAAACTAAGAAGTGCAGGGATGGGGCAAAGAGTGATGAAGCAGGGGCTGAAGTCTCCGCTCTCAACTCTGCCTGTAGGAGCATCCCCGCGTGAGCAATCTTGTCATCAGTGCGGGTATGTGACTTAAATAGAACTGAATGCAATTTAAGTTACACGTCTGACAGCAGGGTCTCCAGAACCTGTTTGTCAGAAGTGGTGGCAATTTATGGTGGCATAATGTAGCAGGCTGGGCACAGCGGCTGGCTGCATGGGATCACACTTTAAGGGACAATTCTCACCATCACCTCTGTTGCCTTGAGACTCTGAACTTAAGATCAGAAAAACTTAATCAAACCTAGATGCTCAATATATGTCAGTCAGCATCATAGTGTATTGCTTTGCCACAAAAATCCAAACAAGCTTCAGACTGTAAACTCAAGGGAGGGTTGATTAAAAAATATAATTTTATTTCCTTGCCTTTAACCAGTGCTACAGAACCGTGCTTCTGACTGAGCTTGAACCTCATCTTTACCTAACCCTATCCTTTTTTGTGATTGAGGATGAAACCATCCATAAATTATTATGGAGTATTCCCAAGGTTCATAAAGCATTTAAGCCTCTCTTTCTCACACACACGAGAGGCTGGCCAGCTATCTGTTGAGAATATTCTACCCTTACATTTCCTGCTCAGAACAACTACATGGAGTTTGGGACAGTATGTTGCTTACAATTCACATTTTAAGGATCAGGGCACAGGTTTTGCACTTGCATGAGATTACAATGGAAACAGACGTACCTTCCCTCTTTTGATCTATTCTCTTCTGCTGAGAAGTCAATCTGTGGAAATTCGGCTTTTATCATCTGCGGTGTAAGTAAAACAGACGCCTCTCCTTCAATCACTCTAAAATTTAAGTTGCCAATTATTTTACTTTTTAAGATGTCTGACTGCAAGCAGAAATCTTATGAGCTTTTAACCTCTTATGATATAATCAAATCCTAGTGCTTCATATGCAGTAAAATTATTTTGATAGAACAGCAGAGAGAAAACTTACTCATCAACTACATTTTCCTTGTCTTGTTCTGGTAACTCATGCAGAATTGGAGGCACAACTTTTGGAAGCACGTCTGTGTTATAAGGATCAATGCTGCAAAAAGTGCAATTATACTGAGATGTTAAGGGAAGAATATGGTACGGACAACTGAAATTAACCTTATGGCTAGCTCCTCCAGCTGTGTTGGGACTACAGTTCCTCTAATCCAAAGAAGCATTGCACTCTAACACAGCTGGAGAGTTCCAGGTTGAATAAGGGTGAACTACAGCGCCAATGTCATTTTCCTGGCTTTGATATCAACATCCTTTTCTTTCAAATGAAAAATAAATAAATGAAGCATATTCTGAATACAATGCCAAGCCTTTTAAAAATAAAAATGCAATACAACCAGCAGGAGCATGATGCCATATTCATTACAGGATCCTCCCTATTATACCACTACTTTTCCATGCTTTAACTCTGTTTCCTCTTCATGATCTAGAATATATGGTGTCTGACCTCACGCACTGTGAAGCTCAGGTTTGTTTTAACCACGGTCTGTGGAATAAGCCACACTGGCTGGTTCACTCACTGCATCAAGTGTTCAATCATTTTCCCACATTTAGCTGGGAAGTAAAGTATAAGTTTTCTGGTCTCTGCAAACCATTCATAATGGCTCACACATAAACTATGTATTTCATTTTCAGTTACGTATGCCTAGAATAAACCAACCACAAGCTCCAGGATTTGTATCTATAGCTTCATCATTTGTTCTGAGCAAGGTGCTGAATGATGAGTAGTAATCACATTGTTTGCTACTGACTTTATCTAAGAAGTGTGAGAACCTAAACAGCTGAAAAGTAGGGTATTAAAAATATTCCATATAATCAACTTATATACTGTGTCTAGAAGCAGTATTACTCTACAGTAGAGGCAGCAGTTTAATCCTCTCTAGATATTTTTAATTTCAACCAACCCTATCAAGTATGGCAAACAGCAAGGGAATGTAGGGGTTGTGATCTGAAACACCTGGAAGGCATCCTCCTTCAAGAAAAACAGCCTGTAAACACCGGACGTTTGGGGCAAGGGCTTTCCACCGCTTCTTACAAAGCTGAACGTTTCCAAAATTTTTCTATTATCTGCTGAAACTCTCTTTACCATTTTCAGCAGTATTCCAAGTGAGAAGAGGTCACTTTGGTCTATAAAGGGAAGATGCTTTTAATAAGAATGATAATTATTCTTACCAGAATGGTGTTGCCATGCTATTCAGAGCTGGTACGTTTGGTAACGTTGAACTGATAACTGGTGGGAATGTTCTCCAGTTAGTTACACCACGAATCACTTCCTGAAATGACCATAAACATATTAGCGAATGCTGTTCGCCATCTCTGCCACCTGTTAAAGTTCAAGTAACAAGTTTTAAATGAACAATGCAAAGAAATCAAGGAAAACAGTAGAATGGGGAACTGCTAGGAGGTCAAACCAGTCAATCTTAAAGGAAATTAACCCTGATTGCTCATTGGAAG